AGGATATTTGATAGGGCAGGAGACATCTATTATCTTGCCAGCATTGCTCCTCTGTATCTTGAGATCTTGTTTGCTGAGCATGTCATGCATTAAAACATGTAAACCAGTACTTAGCAAATTTAGTAGTAAAGAAAATATTGAGTGGAATGACTAAGCAAAGCAGAAAAAAAAAATCAGAAAGGCAAAATTAAAATATTAAGTGCAAATATAAAAAATATGCTTTCTGAAATTACTACATGTTGATTGGATTTCACACGGAAATCTCCTTTGTTTTTCTTTTTCCTGGGAAATACTGAAGCTTGGAAGACATGAGCCAAACCAATGTTCTTATAAGCTATGCTACATTGTACATAAATACATTCCATTAAACAAACAGCATGATATCTGAGACAAAGTAATCCCAGATCCTCTGCTTCTTGAAGGCCAGATTTCAGAAAGTACTGAACATCTAAACCCTCTGATATCCAGTCAACTTTAAAGGTCTGGGCTTTTGCCCTACTGATGCATCCAACACAGAAAATATGATGTATATAGCAGGGCTTTAAACTAGATTTGATGGGGGAAGTAAATGGATTTCTGAGTGACAGAGAAGAGCCAGGGAACCCTGTCGCTTTAGGAAGCAAAGGGAAAAACCTCCCTCAAGAAGGTAATGCAGCCAATAGCCCAGCAGAAGTGCCTGGGAAGTACACAGTATGGGAAATAAGCAGTATGAAATGGAAGCTATGGTGCAGTTAGATAATACAGAAATATGGTGAAATGAATCACACAATGATGACCGAAAGCAACAAACTTTTTATAAAGGATAGGCTGGGCAGGAGGGGCAGTTGAGTGCCCTCTATGTCAAGAGGTAGACAGTAAAGAGCTCCCTCTGAAAAACAGCTAAGATTAAGTTGAGAACTTTGGGTTAAAAATAGGTATCAGTCCAATAAAGAACATCTGGTTGTTGGGGCCTACTACAGAATGCCTGACCAAGGGGAGCCTGTTGATGAGGCCTTCTTGTTTTAGCTCACAGGCTCTCATCCTGATGGGGGATTTCAACCCCTGGATATCTGCTGGGAAAGCAGTATGGTTGCAAGCAATCCAAGAGACTCCAGGATAACTTCCTACCTGGTCCAGGCATCGGACAGAGCAACCAGAGGTGAAGTGTTACTGGACCTGGTGCTCACCAATGTGGAGGAGAACATTAAAGAAGTTAAGACTGGGCTGCAGTGACCATATGCAGGTTGAGTTCATGGCCTTGAGAAATAAGGGCCTGGGGAGAGCAGAGGCAGGACCTGCACTTCCGGAAAGCAAACTTTAAACTGTTTAAGGAACTACTGGATGGGATCACCTGGGAAGCTGTTCTTAGGGATATAGGAATTGCACTGACAGATCTTTAAGGAAACCTTTCTGAAAGCACAAGAGCTTTCCCTTACCCTGCTCTAGGTGGCCCTTGAGCAAAGGTTGGTCCAGATGTACTCCTGAGCTCCCTTCCAACTCTAGCCACCCTGTAGTTCTGTGAACAGTGTTGCAACCTGTTTAAGTCCTGAGAACAAAACATCCAGTGATACACCTGGAGTTGGAGTAGGAGTACGAGTTCAAGCTCACTCTAGAAATCAACTCTGTTCTATAAGCACAGCCCCATTAAAACACATAATGGACTATGCAGATGCTTAGTCCGGTGCTGAAAACTAATCAGGGATGAAAAACCTGAGCACTCAGGCACTGAGTAACTGTTAGTCAGATAAGAAACACTTTTGTACCTCCACTTTGCAGTCTAGACTTGCATCAACCAGCACTCAAGGAAAATAAAGTGATGTTATGTTAAGAGATAAATATCTGTGTTAACTTCCCGAGCTTACCTCTTGCAGGTATTTTTATCAAAGCACTTTAGCAAACACTGAACATACAAACAAAAACTTAAGAGACAGGAGAAAGTGACCTGCTGGAGAAAGAGCATGGAAAAGAAAGAGAGTGACAGCACAGTTAATTATGAAGGTGGAAGGTCTACAGAGAAAGTATGGCCTGAGCATTCATTAAAAGCTTGCAGAAGAGAGAAGTAACAAAGACCTCACAGATTGTGAATGAAGACTGAGACCTGTACTAAACTATGACTAAATGCAGAGAGTGGCATGGATTAAACAAGAAAATAAGAAAAGCTGGGATACAGCTATGAAGAATCACAATGAAAGAAATAGAGTGCAACAGAAAGAGGAAGGAGTCAAAAATGTACTAGAAAATCAAAGTAAGAAGCCTGAGGGGGATAAGAGACTGCTGGGAAAGCTGAGGGAAATACAAGTGAGGCAGAGAACTATGGAGCAAATGGGGAACTGAACTGGAAGAGGACAAAGATCCTCTTAGGGGAACGGCTGTTTATGAGGGTGGATAGTGATAGGGCAAGGGGGAATGGTTTTAAACTGAGACAGGAGAGGTTTAGGTTAGATATTAGGAGGAAGTTTTTCACACAGAGGGTGGTGACACACTGGAACAGATTGCCCAAGGAGGCTGTGGATGCCCCATCCCTGGAGGCATTCAAGGCCAGGCTGGATGTGGCTCTGGGCAGCCTGATCTGCTGGTTGGCAATCCTGCACATAGCAGGGGGTTGGAACTAGATGATCTTTGTGGTTCTTTTCAACCCAGGCCATTTTATGACTCTATGACTCTATGAAAGATAGATAGCATTGTGTGCAGATGACCGCAGATCATAAGCAAGGCAGAGTGACAGCAGACAATGAGAGTGTCCACTTTTGTATGTAGCAAAGACCCAGATTTTAACCTGGATTGATTTTGCTTAAGAGATTTGAGTTTGAAAAATCTAAGAAAGGTGAATAAACTAAATACAGCAATCCACAGAATATGAACATTTCTGTTTGCCTGGTTTTGGAAAGTGGGGTGCAAGTGTATGAGTTTTCAAATTGATGATTAAATAAGTTCTCCTCTTTTCCTAAGGTACCATCTTTCAATTCCAAGTCAGTGTCTGTAGAATCAGACATTAAGAAATACAACACTAAATAAGCATATTCCATATTCAGCATTTTCAGCATCAGGAAACCAGGTTGTGCTTCCAAGCTAGGAACATAGACCTCTTCAAAAATTGTACCACCTCAACTGCCAGAGGAAATGAATACAACATTATTAATTGGGTATGAATACTCTAGTTCAGATTCTCCATGGCTTTTGTAAGATGCATGGAGTAACAAGTAACTAATCTCATGTTCTGCAAAGACTGAAGATGTGGATTTGAATTCACTTTGAAACCAGTTTTCTTCACCACTTCATTCTGCTACTGCCCAATGTTACATAATGGTTTTAACTTTGATTGGAATGGACTAACAACAATTGTCTGTCCAGAATCAGTTATGACATGCAGTAAGGCAGCTGTCAAGAACAGCAGACAAGCATGTGACACCTCAAACTTTCACTGCTGTTTTGGAAGTAAAAACGTGGCAACTTCATAAATAGGTAGAATGTTTTCTGAAGAAAATTCAGAAAACATTTGTATTAATTTATTATTATTGTACTGGGAAAAAAAACAACATACTCCTGCAAAAACAAAATAAAACAAAACAACTATGGCACATGTAAAAGCAGGGCTACTGTTTTTTTGTTGTTGTTGTTTAATTATAATAATAATTATTATTATTTTTATGTAGAGATTTACACTCGTGCAACACGGAAACCCAATGGTATCCTGGCTCCATCAGAAGAGGGGTGGCCAGCAGGGACAAGGAAATGATTGTCCCTCTCTACTCTGCCCTTGTAAGGCCCCATCTGAAGTACTGCGTCCAGGTCTGGGTCCTCCAGTACAAGGAAGGACGTGGAGCTGTTGGAGGGGGTGCAGAGAAATGCCATGAAGATCACCAGAGGGCTGGAGCACCTCCTCTGCAAAGAGGGAGCTGAGCTTGTTTAGCCTGGAGAAAAGAAGCTTCAAGGAGACCTCACTGTGGCCTCCCAGTATTTAGAAGGGGATTATAAAAAGGAGGGGAATCAACTTTTTAGAAGGGTAGACAGTGATACGACAAGGGGGAATGGTTTTAAGCTCAAGGAAGGGTTACATTGGATGTCAGGGGGAAGTTCTTTACTATGAGAGAGGTGAGATGCTGGAACAGGCTGTCCAGAGAGGTTGTGGATGCTCCATCTCTGGAGGTGTCCAAGGCCAGGCTGGATGGGGCCCTGGGCAGCCTGGTCTAGTACCAGATCTGGAAGTTGGCAGCCCCTCCAGTGGCAGGAAGGTTGGAACTTGATGATCTTAGGGGTCTCTTCCAACCCAAGCCATTCTATGATACTATGAATACAGCAGAATACTCATCAGCCCATTGTAGAATTTCTTATAAACACAATATTCCTTTTATCATCTCACCCACAAGAAATAAGGGGAGACCTCCTAGTTTAAAAAAAAAAAACAAAACCAAAAAACCAAAAAACCAATGTTTTACTAATACACAAAGCATAACTAGCTTATAAACTAATGCCATCTTATCACACTGACAGCAGAACCCCCAGCAGAGGATGCCATGTGTACGCGAGGACCCGAGTAATGCAGGCGGCTGCTGCCAGAGGTGAAAAGACGTGCTGGCACTTCAGAGCAGCCGGGTTTATTTAGGCGAAGGGCAGGCACGGCAGCGCGCACGCCTGCGGTGTAATCAACCACCGCACGTGTCGCTGGCCCACGTTTTCTTTCGCGTTTCTTTCTGTCACCCAATCTTCGTTGCGGTCGTTGCCGGTTCATTTGGCTCCCGTTGATCCCACGCAAGACCGAACGGCTCCCACCTGCCGGTAACGAGGCCGGTGCCGCTCCGTGGCACGCAGCAGTACTGCAAGGAGCAGAACCGGTACGGCACTTCCACTGCTTGCGGGCAGAACAGCCTGCCAGAAATCCTCCGCTGCTGCACGGCAACGCGTCAGCACTCAGCGGGAGACAGAGCGGTGCCGACCTGCCTTCCGCCAGAGCTACCGACGTATCGCCACCCACCAGCTGTGGAAAGCGATATGCTGCTCTAGCAAATAACCGGTTTTCATGTCTGCACTCAAGCACAGAAAGAAACCGACAGCAAACAAAGTTCAGTCGCAAAGCAGCGAGCTCACCGACGCACGCGCCCTCCCCCGTCCCGGCGCACCGCCGCCCCGCCCTCCGACGGCTCCCGGCGAGGGCCACGCTTCCCCCAAGCGCCCGCCGCCATGGAGCTGGGGCAGGTGCCGCTGCTCTTCTCCCGCCTGCCCATGTTCCCCTTCTTCGACCTGGCGCACTACATGGCCTCCGTCATGGCGCTGAAGGAGCAGCGGGGTGAGCGGCGCGGGTCCGCGGGGAGCGGGGCGGGTGGCGCCGTGCCCCTGCGCGGGAGAGGCGTCCCACGGCGGTCTGCGCGGCGCGCGTCGGGGCGACGCTTCAGCCCCCGCTTGCTCTTTTCCAGCGCGTCGCTTCACACTGTCACTGGTATCCCCACACCCCCCTTCTCCTTGTCCTGAGCGTAGAGAGCGCCTTGTGTTAGCGTAGCCACCTGTGGAGTGACTTCGGGTTGAGAGCCGTGCAGGAAACGGAGCTGGCGTTGTGGATTGTGGAGCTGGCCGGGAGCCGCAGGGCTCTGTTTGCTTTCTGAGAGCTGATTCTTTGGTCGCTTGTGAAGCGTGTCAAGGTGAATGTTTGCTTCCTGCTGAGTAAGTGCACTTAGCAGGCTGCGGAGGCCAACGTCAAGTGCTGGCATCTTCACCACGGCTTGTCGCTACAGCTGAAGTTGTTTCTGGGTGCTGACACGCAACACTTCATTTCTGCAACTTAAAGAGGAGCTTTCTATCTAAAGGTGGTTAAAAAGCACTGCCCTTAGACTTTCTTTTGGACTGAACACCATGGGAGGAGCTGAGTGATAGGAGTTGCTTTGCAATGCTCATGCCGAATGTAGTGTAGCTTCAGTGGGACATCACCTCAGGACAGCAAAAGCAATGGTTTGTGCTTTTTTAAAATTTAATTTTCAACCTGGTAGCTGTAAGGTTCAGAACTTCTGAGTATTCCCACATACTCAGAATTAGTAACAGTAATTACAGTGACTGCATGCTGGTCCGTCGCTTGCTTGCAAACAGTTTGAATATTATAGCACAGAATGATTAAGGTTGGAAAAGACCTCCAAGATGTTCACGTCCAACCACCAGCCCATCCCACCATGCCCATCAGCCACAGTCCTCAGTGCCACATCCACACGGTTCTTAAACACCTCCAGGGATGGTGACTCCACCACCTCCCTGGGCAGCCTGTGCCACTGCAGCGCTGCTCTGTGTGTTCTCAGAAACTCAGTCATTCTCTTTTACACGTGGATAATTGGGTAGTGATTAAGTGTCTGTTGGCAGAGGAAACGTAGTCGTGTCACAGCCAAGTTTGGTTTATCTCAGTTGGCATTTCATTAAATTACTAACTGCTAAACACCAGATTAGGTGTATTTTTATGATGGATGTGCACATACTAACTGGGAATTTTCCCAGTCCTTCTAGCTAGATTTTCTCGCTCTCTTGTGAGTACTGATGAACTATAGCAGAGACAACCAGTATGTTGCTTTGTGCATCAATTAAGCTAAGATTTCTTGCTCAGTACATTTGGGGTTGCTTAACTAGCTGCTTGTAAGTCCAGATGGTGAGTTTGGGGTCATGTTTTCTTGGAGGAGGTGGAAGGAAAGGGGAGCAGAAGAAAACAGAAATTGAGGGTTGTGGATATGCAGCATTTAGAAGGAACGTGCTAGTTTTGGTCTTGAAAGTCTTCTGATACAGGATCCAAGTTATCTGAGGAGAGCTAATGCTTTTGGCATCCTTTTTCTAGCTTAAATCTGGCTTTAGCTTAATTCACAGTATGTACAGTTCAATTGGAATGCTGGGAAAACTCTTCTAGAAGTGTTTCTGGTTTGATCTTTAGATGTATTCGTGGTATGCCTGTTTAGAACACGTTAGGAAGCTTAAAGCAGATCTTAACCTACTTACAGAATAAGCTGGCAAAGCTTTTTATTAATATCATCTAGAAATAATATTTAAAACTGCATTGAATGATAATCTTTGTATTTTGAAACCTTATCTTTGCTTTCTAGAATACAACATTTGGCTTTTTGGCAGATAATATCCTGCATGGTTGTATGATGCCTCATTAGTTTTTCATGGTGCGCCAGAGGACAAAAATAAATGACTCCTTGTTTAAAAAACATGTGACCTACTTAAAACTCCATTTATTTTCTGAAAGTTACATCCCATTTGTAATTTAGGTGCTAATATAGGCTTTAAATTGGGATAAACTTTTTTATTTTTTACGTGTATGATATATTAACTAAGAAAATTCTCCTACTGACCATCAGTGAAATCCTATTTTTTCAGGAAGAAACAGCACCTGGAGTGGTTTCCTTCCCTTCAGTCACTAATCTTGCCTAACACCTGGTGAGGTGAAGGAGGCTTTCTTTTCATTAGCTCTCATCTGTGCTGTGTCTGGGGAGGGAGGAGCACAGTTCAATATTTTCCAGGAGGTCACAAGTAAGATGTTAAGATGATTACTTCTCTGCTAATGCCAGGTGAGAAGCATCGTGCTAATGAAGGAGAGGTTGGTGAGGCCCACCTGATGATGGATGAAATGTAAGATTTCTTCTGCACCTGGTCTGGAGGATAGAAATTCTTGTGTGCGGAACCTCCTGTGATAATATGAGTACCAGTCTTGCTCCAAAAAACAGTGCAGATTACATTTGGTGTTACATCAGGCCAGGAGTTAAAGTAGTGCATAATGCAACTGTTGATATATATTTACTAGCAGCATCATGCCCTTGTAGCATGTGATCCCCAGTGATTCGTGATTTATGGTGGCTGCTGCCATCATCCAGGTTTTCTTGTTACTCTGTAAAATTTGGGATGCTTCTTCTATACATGATCTCCTTCTGCTGTAATACTGCACTAACACTTAAAACTGGAGCAGCCTTGTTAATAGTCTTGTCTAAAGTGAGTTATAGTGAGAGTGCTGTATTCTCTCTGACACATTTACGCATCCCGCTTTTGATAAGAACCTTCTTTTCCCGTAGAATTCTTGTAAAATGATTCTGCTGAATCATTAACCAAACGCTACGTTTCATTTTGGGGCGGACACTAGTTTTCATCTTTGCTTTTGTGACCTTTAGCATTTGGACTATAAAAAATGCACTTAATTTAGGCAAACGGAGCCCTACGTCTTTATAAAGGGGAAGATTTGAAAGTGGCGAACTCCTGAAGTGAAAGGAAATAATCAAAACAACGATTTCAAGATATTTTTGGCTTTGATAAAGTGTTTTTTCCCCTTAGAAGTGGTTAAAGTTTCCTTTTTTCTTTAGTCCAGCATAATCTTCTGCTATTGAAAACTCTTCTGGTATGGTTGAATTGCAATTTAAAAAACAATTTTTAAGATTTTAAAGATGAAACAGTGAAGCCTTTAATAACACGTGAAGCTTAAATTTATTGTATGTCTTTGGGCAAACATTTTTACCTGTTCAGAACTGCAGGCAAAACAATATTTGCTCAATTGCTTTGGGTTGTGCTTTTATTTTACCCAGTGAATGCTGTTAGGAGGGTGTTAAGAGGAAAAAACTTGAATTCGTAATCACTAAAAAGCAGAAATGGAAGTTGTAAAACAATCTTCAGACAGTAGCTGTATTAGTACCAGTCCTGTTCAGTCAGCGGAACAGTTACATATTCTTCATAAAAATTCAAAAGCAACTTTACAACAAACCCTCTCAGACCATACTTTGAAAGCTGTTACTGGTAGCCAAATAGTTAGGCTGAACCAACCCACAAAAGATGCTGAGAGAACACTGTCATTTTTTCACTTCTATTTAGATAGTGTGCACTTAATATCATAGGAAGTTTAGCAAAGACTTCTCCTCTGAAGGCCTGCAGATCTGTGTAGGGTTTTTCATGACCTAAAGGAACAGTGCAAGACTGTGTGACTTAAAAAATACTGTCTTTTAAAATGTAACATGATTCTCAAATGTGTGCTTCTGTTTCCATATCTTTTCTCTTTGCTTTAGGAGCTGTGGAAGTGTCAATCCGCAGTCCAGTTGCTTGCTGGTTTAGTGCTATGCTTTGCTGCTTTGGTGGATCTGTTTTGTCTTCCTTGATGCTTGGAGAACCTCCAGTAGCATTTTTGGCAAAGACCACAAATATTCTACTGGCATCTTCAGTCTGGTAAGCAGCCACAATTGAGTCACATGAGTATTATTTATTCTGAGGAGGCTGTACTTTGACTGTAAATAGTAAGATTATATCATCAAGCTTAACTTGAAATATCATGAATTTAGATGGTCTCTCTTCATCAGAGAAGTCACTGCAGCAAAATAGCTGGTTAAGAACCCTTTCTGTAGAAGTGAAATGTTCATAAAAAAGCAATTCTTACAAAGTGCTTTATAATGAAATGCTCGGTCACTACATTTTCCTTATATTTTTATGGTATCCCTTGTCAAACAGATTATCCAGAGTAAAATAGACTTCAGTTATTGCTTTTCTGGATACACAGAAGTCATAAATGCCATCTGGGATTTTCAGTGGTAGCTTCTGAAGTCCAGAACGCGGTTGAAATAAAGTTCTTGAACTTTTTTTCACCTGGGGAGTTAAGACATGGATGTTGTTTCTTCTCTTCCAGTGTCTTCTTTCTGACATTTTTTTTCTGTCTTTTGCCCTTTCCCATATTGCTTTCCTAAATGGATGGGGTTATAGTGAAAGCCAATAGAGAGCTGAATGGGAAGTCAGGTATGTGAACGTGGCAGCAATTTGGCCTGTTTTGGAGTTCGTAAATAGTGCTGGAGTTATTTTCATGTGAAGGTAGCCTTGCAGTGGAAGTCAGTTGTTTGAAAGATCAGTTTGTTGCTTTGATCTTGAAAGGAATCCTCCAACTTAACAAAATTTGTGAGCAGCAGTGGATTCCTGTTTTACAGGAGTATTGGCTGCTTGAAATCCTTCCTTGTTGCCTATTAAGTTTTACAACTGCAAACCGCAGAAATGAAAATAAGTGTTTACATCTACATGAGTGTATCTGTTAGTCTTCTGGTTTGCAGTGGAAGATGCAGACAAATTTAAGCAAATCACTGGGATGAATAACCTACAATTAAATGTGTATTGATAAAATATTTACAGAATCGGCTTCTGGTTTATATTAGACTGTTCTAACAAATAATACTTGAGTTAGGAGGTGTCTTATTTCCAGGTGGGACAAAATCGTTTTTTTCAGAGTGCCTGGTATGGTGCTGTGTCTCGGTTCTAGGAGAAAAGCAATGTTGATAATACACCGAGGGTTGTAGTTGCTGCTAAGCAGTGTTGTACAGAGCCAAGACCCTTCACAACAAAGGGACCAAAGAGGTGGGTTGTCCCAACTCCTCCAGCAAGCTCTGTGGCTGCTCCCACTGTTACGACGGACCCTGTGGCTGCTCCAACTCCTGTGACAGGTCCTGCAGTTGCTCTGACTCTCTTGTGAACAGACTCTGCAGTTACTGTAGACCTTTTTATAGGCCCTGCAGGTGTTGTGACCCTCACAACCAGCCCTGTGGTCACTCCAGTCCCCGTGAAAAGCCCCATGTTGGGTGCCAAATGAGCTGTTGTGGTTTAACCTTCCAGGTGGCTCAGCACCACATAGTTGTTTACTCAATCCCTTCCTTACCAGTGAGATGGGGGAAAGGCTAGAGAAAAACAAAATAGAACCTGTGGGTTGAGGTAAAACGGTTTACTAAGATAGAGAAAAGGAAAAGATTAATAATTATAACAAAAAAAAAGTATGTATGTGTATATGAATATATACAACAGGTGATGCAGAAGCAATTGCTTACCATCTCCTTACTGATACCCAGCTAGACCCTGAACAGGGGAAGAGAGAGAGATGAACTCCCAGGGCCTTCAAAATTCTTACAACTTGATGTCATATAGTATGGAATATCCCTTTGGTCAGTTTAAGTCAGCTGTCCTGATTCAGTTCCCTCCAAACTCCTTGGGGCCTTCAGTGTCAATGGCCTTGTTCTGTACAACACTGCTTAGTAGCATCTATAAACATCAGTGTGTTATTAACATTATTTTTTTCCTTGAACCAAAACATAGCATCATACCATACTCTCTAGAAAAAAATTCTGTCACAGCTGAAACTTAGACAGGACAGGAAGAGGGAACGTAACTTTCAGTTTAATGTGGACAAATGTGACTTGCTGTGCTGAAATAAAATGAGGTTTTAATAAGAACCTATGAATGTTATGAAACTTCTTAAGCTTTTAGTTTTGAGTTCTCTCTTCATTAGTACAATAACTTTAATTCTCGATCTCAAGTCACATGAAGCAAAATTCCCCAGATCACGCATAAAACTGGAAAATGAAAGGGGTTCTGCTGTGCTCAAGAAATGCTCCTAAATAGTCTGTAGGACAGCGACATCTACTGTTAGCAAGCTTTACTAACAGAAGTTAGAGGCAGAAATGTGGTGGACTAGCATTGCAATTTGAATTCAATCCAGTTATCTGTGCTTTGATGTCATAAACACTCGTTTTGCAATTGTAAATTAATTCTGACTTGTGTTGTGTATTGATTACATGACTTAAATGGCTATTTGCAGTAGCCACCAAAATGCATGCTCTATATACATCTATGACATACCAGCTGAAGCTTGGTTGCTGCAAAGGCAATTGAATTTGCAATAGGAGATAAAGGAAGAAATTTAAGCAGTTCAAAACAATGTTAGAACTAATAGTGCAGGAGCAATACTTAGCTATTAATGTAAATTCCAATAGCTTCCATGTATTTGAGAAAAAAGCTATTACATGCTTCAGTCTGGGAGGTCTTGAAGAGAAAAAGCTTCATATATTTTCAGTGATAGCTCAAGATACTTAGTAAATTGCAGCAAAAAAAAAAGTGCATAACTAGGATAGGACTTTAGCTAAGTTCTGCCTTCCTGTGGAGGAAGCATCATGGCATTCTGCTGCTAAGGATAGGCATTATTTCTGGAAAAACACCCAAGTGTTCTCATATTTTCTAATGTCAGACCAAGAAACATGACTGAATCTTCCTGGCTCTGGTGTGTGATAGTTGTTTTGATAGAGTGAACTAGGGAAAGAGATGCATCTCTACCTTGCTGCCTGAGAAAACTGGGAAAAGATACAGCCTTTGTACTTCTTGGTAGATTAGATTGAGCTCAGAAGCCTAAACCAAGAGGCAGGTATTTCTTTCAGAAAAAAATGAAGACGTAAACTTCCTGTCTCATACAGGTTGTCTCTGCTTTCACTTCATTATTGCTGCTTTATTCCTATTACGAGATAATATAGATGCTTAAGCTTTTTTTTTTTTTTTTTAACTTTTATTCTGAGGAGTCCTTGAGTGTCTGTTTAAGGACTGAGATTTGGTTATGATTGAGGAGATAAAGTAAAACATCACATAATCTAAACACAAGTTACTGTCAACTTAGGATTTCATTGTTAGATATCTTTATTTTATTCTGAAAACAACCTGATTTTAAAAAAACATTAAAGTATACCTTCAGTTGTTTTGTTAACACTTTGAAGAAAGAAATGTACTTGTAACTGGAAAGCTGGAAAAATTAATATCAGTGGTTACTAAGATGTGAAATGGGTTTGAAAATAGCTGTGCATTTTGTCTGGCGTGATACTAACTAGTGGAAGGCATTCTTGCTGCAATTATGTAATTCCATACACCTTTTGGGGGAAAGCATATTGTCAGCACGTAATTTATCACCCTGTCTTACTTCTGGCGGTAAAAAAAACAAACAAAAACACAAAAACAAAGTCAGACAGCAATTTAATAATTTGAATAATCTAAATGTGGTATGTAAACTACAGAACCATTGCTGAAAGAAGTTTCAGGAGCTGGCCTTGATGATTCATGTGGGTTCCTTCCAACTTGGAATATTCTGTAAAAATTTAAAGCTCCTTCTGATTGCTTTCAGGAGTTCTCAGCTGGGACAGTGCGGCAACAACAATGATAGTAATGTTTCATGATTTGGTAGAAGAGCTCAAACATGCTCAAAAGCATTTCAGATTCGCTCTGTATCTGCAGTATATGAAACTAAGCTATGAATAGTGTATCAAGTTTTGCTGGTCACATTCAAGAAATATCTAGTGAATTTGTTAGCAGAAATATTTGAACACTGGTAACAGGTTTTCTCAATATGATTTTCAGGTATCTTATGTTTTATTGCCCACAAGACAAATTCTACCAGTGCTTTGCGTTTCTGCCTCTTCGGCTTCTGGTTGCAGGAATGAAAGAAGTGACTAGGACTTGGAAAATAGTGGCTGGCGTTACGCATGCAGACAGTCATTTTGAAGATGCCTGGCTTGTCATGGTAGCTGTGGGCTGGGCCAGAGGTAACATGCATAACATCTTCTTCTGATGAGTTATGATATTTTGGAGTGGTATTTAAATGCCTAGCCCTTCAGCATAACTCTAGCACCGTTCCTTGCTGTGATGAATATGATAGTCCTAATACAGCATGTTATCCCCCCAAGGGAGAAGTCTGTGCGGCAGCATTTCTGCCTGGATAAGGGTGACACGGAATGACTTTGAGGGAAGTTCATCTTATTCTTTCAGAAGGTCTTGTGAGGAGGTCTAGGATGGGCAGTTGGTGGCAATAAAGAAGTGGATCTTCCACGTAGCTTCACTGCTGTCACTAACCTTTCCAAAAACATGTGTCCTCCAAAATGTTTTCCTTACACGTGGCTGAAGAAGAGAGCTTGTCTTCTTAGCTTTTTTATTGCTAACATGAGCTTATTTTAAACAGCGGAATTACCCTTCTAGCCTGCATGCTGTCTGGAATCTACCTTCCAAACAGCTATATTTATAGTGACAAAGTAAGAACCGCTTCAGGTTGTAGTGCTGCAGATCTTGAATCTATTTGCTTAATGCTGCTGGGCTTTGGGAAACAACATGGGTTCATATGAAGATCTATTGTATAACTTTTTCAGTTGATGATACAGATCAGTCTTACCGGCCAGAATTTTTAATACGTGGTTATGTTTTGCCTCTTTGTAATATAAAACACACATCCATCTTCTCTTGTGGAGGATCCTCCTATTTTGTACTCTCATTCTCTGTACTTAGTTGCTAACATGAACAATGGAATAGTATAAGCTTCTGTAGCGATTTACTTTATCAATTTAGGCACTTATTTGCAATGATCAGTGTGTCATTTCAGATTGCCACGTAAAGATGAGCCTGGCGTTCTTCCTAAGTAGCTGAAGCTCTGAAGTTTCCTATTGGTCACTCAAGTCGTGCACATATGAAACATTGGATTAATCTCTTTAAGTCTGAGCTTTGGGTGCCACATTTGGCGCCTGGTTTAACAAGTTTTGCTGGAGCAACAGTAGGCTGTGCAGCAGTGGTAGTGCGCCAGTGAAGGCTTACTGTTAATCTTTGGAATTTCAGGAGCTGGTAGCGGCTTAATCTCCAACTTTGAGCAGTTGGTGAGAGGAGTGTGGAAACCTGAAACCAATGAACTACTGAAGATGTCCTAGTAAGTTTTTTAAAAACAAATGCAATATGTTAACTGCTGTTTTAATAACTTCCTCTGTTGACACTCACTTTACGTTTAAAAATACAAGAAAAAAAAAGAAATCGAAACCCAAACAGAAATGTTTATAATAGGTGGTTGGTATTTATCTTGTGAAAGATTGGTTGTTGATCTTGTGTAATTTTAGCAATCTTTTGGTCATTTGGGATTTGCAGCACAAGTATACCAAATGGGAAAAAGTCAATAAAAATTATGGCTAAACAATGGTTGAAAATTGTTGGAAAACATTATGGAGGAACATGGCCTTCAATCCAAAATGGAAAGTACCACAAATACATGAGTAAAGTCTGTGGTTTTAGCGCACATTCTGAACATCACCAATATGGCTTCTTTTGAACACTCTTACCTTCTCTGCCAGCACTTTTTCCACTAAAGATTCTGATTGTTTGAGAAGGTGCGAACTGTTTATTTATTATAGCAAAAATATAGCATGACTTCATTTAACAGAAAGTTCTCATGTTTTCTGACTGCATACATGTCAGCTGAAGTACCATCATGAGGAAGCTAGATGGAAGATGTAAATCTTTCCATGTTGCAAGTCAACACAGCTATGTTGACAAAACTTGGTAACAAAGGCCTAATTCAAGCCAACTGTCAGCTGGTCATAACTGTAGAACTGGTGGAGTGTCACAGTGGAATGAGACTTGAACAAGGTCATTCTTTAACACCTTTGGCAACTGCTTGGAATAACTAACTCCTCTAGTATAGGGGAGGAATGTGTTTTTAAGTCAAGTCTGAGTAATGCAAGATTTGTAATTATCTGTTCAGTAAAATACATATTGAGAGAAGAGGAAGAGGATCAAGTTGGTATGTAGAATCATAGAAGCATTAGGATGTATTTTAATTTGAGTATTTGTCAAGTAGAAATTTGTTGGCTGTATGAATCAGTGTTGAACTTGATGCTTGTCCATAATGCAGCAAGCGTAATAATATATGAAGTGAAAATCATAGTTTAATAACACTGTGTTTTTTTACCTTGTCACTGCAAGTATTTGTCCGTTTTATTCAGAAATAATTGTTGTGCATGCTGAGAATATTTGTTTTCCAGGCCATGAAATTTTTCAGAGTAGAGTAGGAAAGAGAAATTAACATTGTTTGTTTAATTTTCAGTCCTGTGAAGGTAACTTTGATAGGAGCAGTTCTCTTCACTCTGCAGCACAGCCAGTACTTGCCAATTGCAAGACACAACCTTATGTTTCTATACACCATCTTTCTTGTAGTTTCCAAGGTAAGAATCTGAAGGTGTTGCAGATAACTGATTTAAAAAGTACCTTTTTTCAGTCCTCAAATATTATGCTACAAGTTATAAAGCTTGCTTCTAGGAGTGGTGGATGGCTTCTGCTGAAGTCTTAAAGCTGTTTAGTCTTGCTTATATGAACAGAAGACCTATTCTAATACTGTTCAGCATATGGGGTGGGGTGGAATCATGAATTTTGGCCTCCAACAGTTGGCATGGTAGACTTTTATGACCATGAACTCAAACAAAATTGATGTTTGTGGAAAGAAACTCTCCTCTGCCTTTTGCTAGCTGCTGAATGGTTGCCTTGTATGTGCAGTCATCTATGGCTTTGCAAAAGAAACTAAATAGGTTTTTGTCTGTGTATGCATGTCACATATTATTACAATGCTGTAAAAATAATGCAGTTAGTACATTAAAGGTAAATAATGGTATTTTCTTACATAGCATCACTTAATTTCGGTCCTTTACTCATTTAGTCTTGTTCATTTCTAGGATGATACTTATCTTCAGGATTATTAGCTAGTAAGAAATGTGTAGCCTGTGTGTTAGCAAAGTCTAGCAATTTTAAGAGCTTCAGAGCTGCTGTTGAATAGACTAGAGAGCAAAATGTTTGCTGTCAGTCTCACTTTTGTGAAGTAATAGGCAAGTTCAGTTCTCAAGAAGTTCCTTTAGGGAGGCAAGACTTCAAACTAATGCTCACAACTCTTCACCTAAAGAAATAAAGGCCTTGTTGTATGACACCAAAAAAGGCTTACTCTTAGGATGATTTTAGTAAATCTGTAGAATTTTTTTTGTGCGCATTGCTTGTATGTAGCTATCTAAAAAGTGTAGGTCAGAAAGGGAAGTATTTGCTGATGATTTCAAGCTATAGTGAGCATGTTTCTGTTCTTGATGGCATGGACTCTCGGTGCTCAGTTTGTAAGTTAGAAGTCCCATACACTGGTTTAGCACTGAACTTTTTTTCAACTACTGTGAGGTCATTAAAACTTACAGTGCAACTTGACTTGTTCCTCATAGGTAACAATGATGTTGACAAGATCTACAGCTTCTCCATTTGCTCCCATTGAGGCTGCATTAAGCCACATGTTCTTTGGCTCGCAAAAACCACCATCCAAAGTGAAGGGTGAAGGTGCTTCATCTTCCAATGGCTCTTCAGTCTGTGACCAGTCGTCCTCGGAGCAGCCCCGTGATGGTGTTAAGAAGAGACAGGCAAAGAAAACAGAATAAGTAGCTTACAATACATGATAACCTGTGAAGATGTTTATATTTTAGATGAGGCTGATTGAATTATTATTTTTTTTTAATGAAATGTATGTGAGATGAAATTAAGGCTGTATAATATGGTGTTGTTTGCCTTCAGAATGTGTATTGTATGCTTTTGGAATATATTCAGATGTCTAAGTGCACACGTTGGATTTCTAAGTCTAAAAGTTCACATTTTTATAGTGCTTTTAAGTTCGTTAATTTTTGTATTTATTAATAGCTTTAAATTCTTAGATGCTAAAATAACTTCCAAAATGTGACAGTTACCTTTGCTGTTTTTTCTGGTATATCACTTGATTCACTTCTCTTTTTTCTTCTTGATTCTCACGTTTCATTTGGATACACAGACTTGTGCTGCCAAGTGTTCACAGCACAGTGTTCCAATTAGGAAAGCCTGATTAAGGCTTAATCATACTGCACTGTAAAACTATGAAAATGTACCACACTAATGCCTTTAATTACAAAAATAATGGAGTTACTGTTTTAATTCCTACTACACTGGTCTAGACTTCCATCATTTACTTAAGTCAATATTTTTTGCATTGTTTGTATTTTTCAAAATAAGAATTATCTGGCACTTTTAAAAATCTTTACAGTTAGGAAGTAGAAGCACTTCAGTATTGTGAGCTTACTTTGAGGTTTTTTGTAAGCGTTGAATATTTAGCTATCTTTTGTATTATGTGTGTGATTTTTTTATGTTGTTTCTAGCGCCTTTCGATTTGGGATGAGACATCTCTGCCTGCACTTTTATTGAGGCACAATAATTTTTGCTTCTTTTCAAAGTCAAACATTCAAACTGTTTTTAAAAAAAGAATACTGGATGGTACATATGCCTTGTTTAATCATAAGTTATGCCCTGTTATACATGCTGTTGATACACACAAATACTATTTTCTAGAAGTTACCTCTGGTGCTACTGAGTTACTACCAAAAGCACTGAAAGTATATACTAATGTTTGTTGCTATTTGCTGCATCCTGCTCGTTGCATCTTTTTGCAGACAGTATGGAACAGTTGTCTTACACACTTCAGAACCAAGGTCTCACAGGTGTTGCATTTTGTAAGATTCTAATATTTTCACAGAAGTCTTCAATTTGATGTGCCATTTTTAGTACACATTAAATGACTTTTACAGAATGAGACTCTTTGTCTTTGGAGAGTGCTGATTTGAAGAGAATTTTTGAATAAAAGGACAGTGGTTAATCTTTGTGCAGGAATGCCAAGGAGAATGTGGAAGAAGATGTGATTTGAAAAGGCAAAGTTCTAGTTCCAGGTACGTATCTAAATTTAGAAAAAGACATCGCCAGTGCTGTACTTAAAAAAGAACCCAAGAAATTTCTTATGCCTGTCAAGCTACATTTCCATGGTGGTGACCAAAGACACCGACCTCCTTAGTCTGCAATTCAACTGTACAGCAAATATATGCTACCTCAAAAACAAAGTCAGGTATTCAACACAGAATAAAAAAGAATCCTACTCTTGGGACACAGTAGAAATGATGTTCTTACCATTTTACGGTGAAAATCTTTCCAGTTGAAAACACTTGGAGTCACACTTGCAGGGTGTCTCAGGGTTTCAATGTTAGGACTCATGGATATACAAGTAAACTTGGAGCAGCCAACTTTATTAATAATAATCTTAATAATCAACTAGTTTATTTAGTAACATCAGCAAAAGTTGTTGTTGTCTACAGTTCTTAAAACTTCTGGATGGATTCTTTAATCTAATTGAATTGTGATATGAAATTACACAGCTGTGAAGTGCTGCCTGATAACTAGCTGCTCTTATCCCAAACATTTGAAAATACACTTAGACTAATTCTCTTAACAAGTTTACAATTTGAACAAAAATATATGGCTTTGTATTCTCTCTGTACTTAAAAACTACAATACTACAAAAATAGGTTTTCTTCTGTTTTACTGAATATTTCAAGGCAGATATGAAACATAATGTATCGTGTATTATTAGAAGAAACACATGTTATGCTGAAGGAAATTCTATGATAAGCACCTTGAAAACAAATCTTCATGTTTAAAGATCTCAGTCTTTTCTGTAGAATGGGTGTTCAAAAGAACTCTGTACTGAGTTACATGCAAGTATTATGGGGATTATTAAGCTATTTTCTAGTCTAATAATTGGTGGTTTTTTTGTTGTTTTTTTTTTAATATAAAAAGATAAGTAGTTGCACATGGCTTAAGCTGAATTCCATGGGAGGCTTTAATACAGTGTGTCTAGGATGCCTTAAATAAACACTTAACTATTTTCTGGCTTTCTTGCTGGTGCTTCTATATCTCTGCTAAATGTCTCATTGTGAGACTGCTAAGAAATCCTTTGAAATATTTTGTTTTGGGTAAAGAACGTCAGATTTGTCAGAACTGCATATGTGAACTAGTTGCCTGTATCTAATTCTAGCACTAGTCTGGTAAAATTAGAATTAGTTACTTTGTTCTCATATAAAGGCAGGCTTGAAAGAGTTCTCCACCAGCTTACTCTGCAACTGTAAGGCCTGTGCCTGCTAATTAAGTGACTGTTCTTGGTCTTCATTTCTCTTAAATATGCCCAGTTTCTGTAACAAGAAGTACCATAAGATGTAATTGATGAAAAAAAGTCACCTGGAAAGTGACTTCATTTCCATCTTGATTCTTCAGTATACTATTAGGCAAGATACAATTGCTGAAGAATTACAAACTTCTATCTTCTGTAGGAATATAAACTCACATATCTTAAGGGCCATGCTGGGTCTTGATATTTTCCAACAAGCTAGACAGTGAATGAAAGCTTTACTCAATTAATGCTTTTCATTTTTAAGGTGAATATTCGTTTATAAGGACTAAGCAAAGTCTTATAAAAAACAGCAACTGAGAAACAGCATTTGACATTAAAATGACAATTGAAAATGTGATCTAAATAGAACTTTGCATTTGTTAAGATAAAACTGCCACATTAAGCATTCAACATCCCTTTGTGAAATGTGTGAAATCGTCCATCAAAGAACAGGTAACATTAGTGAAGGCTTATGTAGAATAATTCTCAGGCAATAACAGCCTGTTGAACAGTGATCTGCAAATGGGTTTTATCTTCAGTCAACAAGGAGAATATAATGATCAAAATGCCATACCAAAGAAAAAACTGCTGGAGCCAAGTCTCATAAACTAGTGCATGCTTACATCCAATGTTAACTGCAGAGAAGGAATAGATTAGTTTGCTAATAAAATAGATATTTCTCTGAGTTGGAGCATGCAGTCAAAGTGATTGAGAGAGCCTTACTGACTCTGTAAGCTGATAGTGCCAGTGGCCTGTAGTACTTAGGAGTGGACCTTAAAGGATTGCAGCGTCAATCAACTTTGTGGAAGGGTGAAACTCGGGTGAAAGTTTGACACGCTTTCTGTCACTGTTTACCACTACAGATTATATATAAATTGGTAGAGCAGCTTAATCAGAGTTACCTTCAGCTTGTCAATTGTTTCCCTTCTGTGAAAGGTGACCACATCAAAGAGTTGAATACAGAGGTTAGATTTGACAGTCTTGGGTTAGGTTTATTTTCTGGCTAAACGTGGAATAAAATCACAGAGAGATTTTTTGATCCAAACCTCCTTGGTAAACATTCTGTTTTCTAAAAATTACATTATTAAATGGTCCTGGGATATCCTTTCAGTAAAAGTTGTGTATGACTTTAAGATACTTAAAGGGAGATTGTTCTGAACAAGTTGAAGACATGAAGTTATATGGTTCTTATGTTGTCATAGCAGAAAAATCCAAGGTGACTCCCCCTCACAGCACGGATTTCTATCCTTGTTAGTATGAAAATTTGTTGTCTTATGAGTCACCTGTCTTGCACTAGAGCTTGATTCTGACTCTTCCACAGTGAGTTGTCCAGCAAATAAGGTGACTTTTCCTTGATGTTTGCATTCTAAGTTTATAAGTACTTAAAGCAGCAGGAGATAGACTTAGAGCTTTTCCAGATTAAGTGAAAGACGAATATGAAGTGTAGTAAGGCTTCCCATTTTTCTAAGCAGCTGCTGTTGCATTAGTTGAGACATGTTCTGTTGCTTCAATCCAATTACCCCATATATTTTTAGGTCTCTTTAATTCAGTATAGCAGCTGAAAAGGGGGAGAGTAACTCCACATGATATGTTTAGCTCATTGCAGACCTCACCAATGGTGAGTTTAGATATCAGTCTGATAATTTAGACTTCATGTTCCCTAAGGTTTCATTCCTATAATTAGGGTACCTTCCCCTTTAGCTAACACACATATGCTTTATTTTTATACTTCACCTTCTGGATTAAAAAGTTCAGGATCAATTAGATTCATATGGAGCCTTCTCCAAGCATAATTCAGATGTCTTAAACTGGCTTTGGATTAGAACTGTCTTGCCAAAAGAATAATTCCTCTGAAATAAATTTATCAGTCACTTTTTCATTCCCTAATCTTTACCTAGAAGTTTTGCTTATTTTCAGACTGAACGTGGGTATATTTGGCAGGAATCATAATCAGTTCAGAAGTTCAGTAGAAACTGAAACATGAAGGATCTTTAAGAAAAAAAAGAAGCATCTCCCACAGATGCCAAATGCTAAAGCGTTTACCAAATAGCAACAAAGTTTTCTAAGTGCTAAAAGCCCACACTTAAGAAACACAGAGAAGAAACTCATCATTGCTACTGAGAGAAGCTGTTTTGCATGGGCAGGAGAAAGAAGTTTCCAAAATTTCCAAAATGGTATGTGTATGTTTTTGTCCTCAAATGCAAACTGACCAGAGTACAACACAAATCAGCTTCAGAGCAAACTGAAACAAGCTGAAAGTACACCAGCAGTCAAAACCAGGGAATAACTCCCGGAGATGCTACGCATGCTGTTACCACAGCAAGAAGAGAAAACTCAGGCTGCTATCATGAACTGACAGTATGGTTCTTTGTGCTAGTACAGTTGCTGACCCAAGAGCAGAGACTATATTTCTGAGCCTCTGTCTGGTCTATATGGATATCTATGAAACCAGAGCATCAATGCTGGAAGGAAAACAATGATTAAGGAGGTCAAGCTGGGTAAGACCCCTGGGGATATGTTCTCAGCATGAACTACAAGAACACGATCAGGCATTTCAAGTTACTAATGAGATGTGCTTCTGATACGTTTAAACAGTACTGATTTATTATTTTTTTAGCTTTGTAGTGTTAAGAACCAGGCTGAAATAATGTGGAGGAGAGTGGAATTATGTTTGAGCAGTTCATTAACATCAGAGAAGTAGTGCATTGAACAAAATACTCTTAGTAAAATACATCCTTGCTTTTTGTCTTGCAGTGAAGTAGTCACGTCAGGCAATCCTACTGTGGGCAATGTGGAGCTTCTCCACAGGCATCAGACCAGTGAGGCTACCAGATCTGTTAATGTTGAAAGAGCAAGAAAATTATAGGATGTCACCTGCACAGAGTCCTGACTCAGTAAATCAAGAATGTTGGAAAAGAGAGAATATGGGCTACCACAAAGATCTGCAAAATCCTATGTGAGCAGATGCTCAGGGAAAGGTTTTCTTCTAGTGTAGCAACAAGGCAACTGTAAGCAAAACTGCAGGCGATGGACTTGGAGCAAACAAATGGAAAAGACTCGTGCAATGCATCATAAAGCTGTGGATTGCATAACCAGAGATAGTTGTGCGTGCCAGAATTGGGAATCAATTAAATATTGGTTCTGATTCAGGTAAGCCTCATCGTGTACTGTCAGTGAGAATATTATGGGTGCATTACACAGTACATGCTTGACCTATTCTCAGCTATTTCTCTTGGCATCCACTCTTGGCAGCCCCAGCTAGCCAGCGATGGATGCAGACAGTCTCCTGCTAGCAGAAATTACGCAGCTGAGGTTCTTTCATTTGAGAATTTAGAGAGAGCTGCACATCTGGAGCATGAAGAATTAGCTTCACCCTAGACAACCCACCTTCCATGACCACGGCATCTCCTCTACCATGCCAACAAAAGGCTACGGGGTTAGAGAGACCTTTGGGCTGACCCTGTATTGTAGCAGCAATGCTTGAGTTTGATTCTGAAAAGTGGGCCCTTGCCTTGTTAGTGTTTCCTCTCTTATAAAATAGAAGTCATTCTTTTGCCTCTGTGCAGTCAGCCTGTTATCGGTAGAATGCTTTCAGAAG